ATCTTCCAGTTGACCTGACCGGGAAGGCTGAGTGCAGCTGCATGGTCTGGGTACAGCTTCCTCTCTCGCCTCATTTCCTGCTGTACGGCCCTTGTCCTACCCCTGCAGCCCACTGCTCCCCATGCTGTTCCCTGCTCTGAGTATCTCCCATCTGCTGGGACTGGACACTTACCCTAGCCCTTCCTGAGTGTATTACTCTGCACAGTGCTGAGACAGAATACCTCCTATGGCTTGCGTCTGGATGTTCCCTCTAGGCCTTATTCGGTTAGTGTGTGTGTGTGGGGGGGGGGGGAATGGGCTTTTCAGAGGCAGCTAAATCCAGTTTGTGTTTGGTTCCTAGTGCAATGTTGGGATTAAGGGTGTGAGAGTTACACCCAAGGACAGGTAGCCTGCACATAATGTAAGGAAAAGAGGCTTTCCCTGCCCTCACTTGTTGCTTTCTCTTTTGCTGCCATGAACTGTTGCCTCTGTCATGCCTTCCCACCTCACAGCTAATCATTTATACTGAAATCGCTACAACCTGTAAGCTAACTTAATCTTTCCTTCCTTAACCTTGGATAGTGGGTATTTTGTTTCAGCAATGAGAATAAAGTACCTTAAAAAGTGCCTGACACTCAAAATTAAAGTAACTAAAACAAGACCCAACACTCAAAATTGAAGAGAAAGGTTGGACTCACTGTTCATAGAGATTTCGGGGTGGCATGGCAGATCGGAATCACAGAGGAGGCACAGTTCATCGAAGGCAGAAGGTAGCAAAGCAAGAAAGGGGGCCTTAGTGGCTTCCTTCTTCCCATTATTCTGTTCCTAGGCTATGGGGACTAGAGTGGTACCAGATCAATCAGTGGACTGAGCCAGTAGTCACTTACCTTTAAGCCAAGCACTACATACTTAAATCAAGTATGGATCTGAAAAAACCCCACTTATGGGCACATAAGGCTTTAGGGGGACACCTGGACAGGAGCCACAACAGTGGGGTTGCCTTGTAAGCTATTTCTTCAGTCTTTTCTGCACTTTCTAAAACAGTAGCCCTGCTTTTTATTAACTCGCCTTGCTTTATTACTACTTGAGACACATCCTGGCTATATTGCCAAGGCTGGCCTTGAACTTCAGTCTCAGGCAATCCTCCTGCCTCAGCCTCCTGAGTAGCTGGGCTTAATGACTACACTACAATGTCCAGCCACTTTTTTTACTTTTATTTTTATATTACCTGACACTGTTATACAATATAACTGCTGACGCTGCCTTAGTACTCATTACTAAGTATGCTTAAGGGCACAGAGCGTTTCATCTTTGTTACATGCCAGCTTGTAGAACTGTATCGGACACACTAGCAGGTGCTCCAAAACTACTTCATAAATTACTAAAATGCTTTTGGAGAAGAAAATGTTCACTTCTCACTTTATAGTTCAAAACAAAACAAAAAAAATCAAAACCTAAACTCCCACATACCTTCCCTTGCTTGTAATTAGGCCTATTTCCCACTTGCAGGAGAGCGCTGTGTCACACATTTCAGTGTTAAACCACCTTAGATGTAATAACAAGTCACCATTATTCACAGGTCATCTGTGGTGTGAGTGGACTACACCAAAGGGAAACACACAAGTCCTTGCTCTTAAGCAGCGTTAAAGGCGTGGCTGCGCGGGTGCTGGGGACAGCCAGCCCTTCATTCCTGCCGTAGCGTTTATAACTTGGCTTTCCCGAGGGTGAGGGACTCACCTCTAGGTCTCTAAACCAACCTTGCATAAGGCAATAGTGCAGTGAGAATAATGGCAACTGCTTCTTATGAAGCGAGTTACGCACTTAGCGCAGCTCTAATCTTCCCATACCTCATCTTCTAAATGGGGCAGGGCTTTAATGGCAGATGTGCCTGAAGATACCTAGCAAATAGTTGTTTTTTATAACCTAAATTTGGCTCTAAAATCAATAGCTCTGAATCCTACCTTTCACCAAGCATGTAGCAAAACATTGACATAATTACTTCATATACAACATGCTTTCAAGTTAAGAATTCATTACTGTTTGCACTTTTTTTTTTTTTTTTTTTTTTTTTTTTTTTTTTTGAGACAGGGTCGTGTTTTGTGGTTCACGATGTCCTCGAACTCACGGCAAAGCTTCTACCTCCACCTCCCGGGTTCTTTTGGTTTAGAAAACTATCAGCTACAGAGGGTGAAAACAAGTGAAGAAAGCCATGAAACCTCCCGGCTGCCCCGCGCGCGGTACGAAAGCGCTCTCGCCCTTCTAATGCAGTGCTTATCATTCTGAGCCAGGGTTGCGGCTTAACTGCCCAGCTGGCCCGGGGCTGGCGGCCCTCCCGACCCAGCCTCGGGCACAGCCGGGGTTATGGGCGTGCGCTTCGGCATGGGCGGCTTATCTGAACCTCATCTGGTTCAAGAATTAAGAACGTAAGGCTCCAAAGCCGCGGCACCCAGGACTGACTGGGAGCGAGGAGGCGCGGGTCCTAGGCCGGCCGGAGCCCAGGTCCGAGCGCGGGCTCTGCACTCTGGAAGGAGCGTAAATGGGTCGGAGCCGCCGGCAGGCGCCATCCGCACCTTTCCCGAGCTCACTGCACGCCGCACAGAGACGAGGCCAGGGTACAACAGCCTCGCCGCACTCGCCTCCGACAGGGTGCCCGCGGCGCCATCGCGCGCCAGGATGACCACAACCCTACGCGAGCCCGTGCAGACGTCCACGCACAGCGGGTGCGGAGGCGCGCCCGGAAGTGAGACGTCAGAAAATGCGACGCGCTCCGAGAGTCTCGGCGTTCTCGCGAGAGGTTAGGACAGGTTTTCACGGAAGTGATTCCCTTGTAGAAGCGTGGCTACTTCTCCCTTCCGGCGCCGTGCTGCGTGCTGAGCAGTTGACACCATGCAATCAGATGATGTGAGTGCCCTCTGACGCCCCAGCCTGTTCGAGGGGGAATTTCGCCCGGTTTAGGACGTATAGAAAGGCCACCTACGTACTCAGTTGGCCTGTGTATTTGCTTCCCGCACTTCCAGACGCGAGACCTCCAGAACAGGATTTTGTAAAGTGGGCCACACGCGTGTCCCGCCCGGCTCGCTGCCCCAGGGAGTCAAAAGACTAGGACGCTGCCACCCTACTCCAGGGCCCGACTCGCTCAGTTCTCGACGCCTAGCTGTAGAAGACTGCTATGCTGTCAGTGTGCTGCGTGGGACTTGGGTGGAAGGGGATGCTGTGTACGCTAAATATTTAAGGATCCCTTCGCATCCATGCACATGAGACTTTTCCTGTGTTAGGTATTTCTTTGCGTTTGCTGTATTGTCTGCCTAAGTCATAATTTCCAAAACAGCTTCATTCATTGAGCTGGTTTTTTGAAAAATAATGCTTACAATGTACCGAGATTTGGTTGTTAATCAGCCAGATCAAAAAACAAAACAAAAACACTGCTCCTCAGGAACGTGCTCAGGGAGAGAGACATATAGACCTAAAGCTAAGAGTGAGCCAGACAGCAAGGGGCGAGCTAAAGGTACTCGAAAAATAGGAGCAGTAAAGATACAAAGACCTGATGATAGGAGGAAAAGAACTTTATGTGCCTTGTTACAGAAATCAAAAGAGGTAATGAGTTATATAGATGCCACCAGGCCAACATCAATTTACTTTAGGAACTGACTTTTCATAAGAATGACATGGCTTACACCTTTGTGAAGTTCTCTGTTGAATGTGTGAAAAACTGGAAGGAGAGAAATCATGCAAACAAAAGAGACAAGGACAGTAATGATGGAGACGCAATGAAATGGATGGCTTCAGATACGTTTTATCAGTATAACTGTCAAGGTTTGGTGATGGGTTAATTGAAGAAAAGAGAGAGATCTTGGGATTTTTGGATTTAAACACAAAGTTTGGTGTTTTAATTGTTGAAATGGCCAAGAAGTAAGAGTGCCAAGTTTTTCAGAGGCGTGTGGAATTAAGAGGGTTTTTTGTTTGTTTTGTGTTTTTTTGGAGATAGGGTGTGGCTATTTCAGGCTGGCTTTGAACTCTGTGTACCCCAGGTTGGCCTCAAACTCATGGCAATCCTGCGCCAGCCTCCCGAGTGCTGGGAGAATACAGGTGTGTGCCACCACTCTGGGCTAAGAGGTCCATTGTGATAGCTTTTAACTATATGATTGTTGAGATGTCAGGTAGGTGGCCTGATCCATGGACAAGTTTGATGCTCAGGAAAGAAGAGATGATGATTTTGAAGTCATCACTTTAGAAGTGACATGTAAAGCCAGAGGCCTGAATGAGCTCCCTGCTGTTCCAGTTTCACTTCCTCATACCTAGTCCTTCTGTCCCCCAGTACAAAATCCCCGGATGTTTTTCTTCCTCTGCCCATCTTTGTATGTTTTTTTCCATTCAACTCTTTCAGAGCTTTTTCTCAGTTGCTGAAGGCCTGTTATGCTTATACTTTTAGTCGATCTTTGCTACTCTGTGATATGTTGTTTATATACTTTATATAGTAAATTGGTAAAACTCCTAAAGGACTGTATTTTCTTTCAAACTGTACTTACGTGCTTACTATGTGTCAAGATTTGGAGATGTTGGTCCTCTACCTGAATTAAGTATATAATAGATGCTAAATGCATAAAAAAACACATTAGCTGCTAAAGATAGCAGTAATTTTCCTTGGCTTCAATGAGATTAAGTGGAATGTATATTAGAAATGCAATCCCATGTGTCTTTGAACAGTGAGCAGTAAGCATACTGTGTAAAGAATTACAAAGTAGATAGTCCATTTCTGTTAAAAATTTATACATAGGCATACTACAGTTGTTGGATGTACACATGTATAGAAAAATTCTGGAAAATTGCAGCATACTAATGAAATTTTAAGTAGTGACAGTATGATTATTCTTAATTTGTATTCAATTTTTCTACAAGAATCTGTTATTCATGTAAAGAAAAACCAAGGCAAGTTTTTTTTTTTTTTTTTTTTT